GAAAATAACAAAAATAATGAACAACCATATACCAGAGACATTTTGTGGGGGTGGAGTGGGGAATGGGATCAAAAACGGGGGTGGGGGGTGGGGAGGGAAGTGCATGGGATTATGGTGATGGCACACGAGTGACTTGGTTATGGGAAACCTGCAGGGATTACAATTGAGATGGAAAAAAAAATGTACAAAATGATGTAAAAATAAACTGTTATAAAAAAAATTAAATGTAATGCCATAGAAATACAAGTCACATGTTATTTTATTATAACTCTTATCTTTACAAGAGGTAGTATAATAAAAGTTAAATACCAGAATTTTTAAAATCTCAAATAGATTATCTTTTTAAAAAATATTTTTTAAATAATATTCAAGAACATTAAAAAATTTCTCCACTAATTGTTAAACCTCTAAGATAACATTATTCTTATAGAGGCCCAATTTTAAGATATTCCTGACACAGAAATTATAAAGATCTTTTTGCCATAAAATCATAAAAACCATGATACATATAGGTAGCTGAAATTTAAAAAATATATTACAAAATAACCAATACAGTAGATTAAAGAAATGGTGCTACAATTTTTCACCAGTAGTTTAACAGGCATTTTCACTTTCACATAAATACCCTACAATACAGCTTAATTAACCACAAAATGATCAAAGGAAAAGATTACCAGAAAAGAGAAAGGTTTCCCTTCAAGATTATAATGTACACTCCTAACTTTAAAGTATCAAGAGTCACCCTTTGCTTCAATAGATATACTTAGATCCTGAACTGCAAAAGGTTTCACTGGTGACCTGTAGATTGCTATCTCTGGGTTGCACGACTTTTTATCCAACTTTAAATACAAGAGTATCTTCTGTATACCAACAAACAAAAGACTTCAGATAGGGAAACCAAAGGATTTAAAAAAGGATGATTTCATTTCATAACAGGTCCCACTTGCAGTGATTTTTCTCTATTTCTAAAAGGCTAAATACATCATTCTCCAAAAAGGCCTCAAGTGTTTCTCAAATCACCCTTGCTCAGAGCCTGGGAACAATTCCAGACGTCAGCATCATACACACTGAAGTGGATCCATTTTATTATGCTGACCAGATACACTAAAGAATGCTATTTCTACTTCAGACCCTTGGGGAATTGCCAGAGATTCTGTAGTGGGCTGAATACCCATTTGTTTTCTAAGACAACTCAATACTCTACTATAAAGGACATCACAGAATTTTAATGGCAAACAATTTATATTCTGTGTGACTTAGCATAAAAGCTCCAAAATAATTAAGCTCAATACAAAAAATCTACAGATAGGTTTTCAGGGTGTTTTTTCTCTAAAAGTCAGTATTTTGGCTGAATTCTTAATTACTAATAAAATTATGATTTACTTGTTGATAACAATAAAAAAGCAGTAAGAACAACGATGAAAAACATCACATTCCTTTCCATTTTCTTCAAAGGCCATAGGATATGCTTAAGACTCCTTTTATTCTTGAAAATTATGAAGTGTTTTTTTATTTGAAAATATTGTCTGATTTTTAAAATAATTGGGAAAAACTGAATGATAAAGTTAAAACTGAACATAGCTGAACAAAACATTATACCTAACCCAACAGCTGTTGGGTTATTACAGAAAATTACAGTATTTACAAATTGTTTTTACTAGAGGGATAACAACACATTTAGGCTAAAATATGTGTACTACCTCATTAGTGATTCGCCTTTGTTCAATATATGCCATAAACTGGGAACTAAGGCTGTCTGAGTCCAGGGCCTTTGGCTGTCTCATTTCGTCCTCCTCTTCCTCTGCAGGACAACTGTCAATGTAGTCAATTTGATCCAGATCATGTTCCACTGTTCACACCAATCATAAACACCAGGAGGAAAAACATCAAATTAGATGGACAACAGAAGACATGAAATTATATTCTTTCCCCTGCCCCTTAAATTTTCTATTCCCAAAGTGGGAGAAATGAGAAGTTTAAATTATGCAAGTCTTGTTATTTAGTTTATGGCTACTCACAAAAAATAGGCTCCATACTTAGAAATGAGGCTTAATCAGGCCCTCCATGGTGAAGCAGCGGGTTGAAGCACAGCACTGAGAAGCTAAAGCCACTTTTATATGAGTTCGATCCCCGCCTGCCCTGGAGATGACCACATGGTGTGGCAGACCTCTCCTGACCCGTCCACTGCTCCCCTCAGCAGTGTACTTCATTGATCTGCCTGTTCTGCTCCC